CATTTTATTATTTCCGCATTTGTTTGATTATGATATTGATGTTGATTGTATGTGTTTACTAATCGTTTTGGCAATAGAATCAATCGGACGCCTTGTACAACTCAATAGGGATGAACTGTTGTTGTTCTTATCGGGTTATACGGCGGTTGTCTACGTGGCTCGGATGCGGTCCGGGGCGTGACACTACCGCCCCCAACTCTAGGTCATGGGTAAGGTAGTTCACCTCGTGTTTACTCAATTGCCTAGAAGCATAGGCAAACTTTTCCCTTTTGCATCAGTACACATCTAAGCCCTTGGATGCTAGCGTCACTGTAAATATCATACCCTATCCCCTGTATGGGTAGGGCGAGAACTGGTGCTTCAGTAAGTCTTTTCTTTAGTTTAAGAAATCCTTCCTCTCACCTGTCGTCCCCTAAGAACTTGGCTCCCTTCTTTGTGAGCTTTGTTAATGGAGACGCCAATACGGAGAATTTCTCCACGAACTTACGGTAGTACCCTGCTAAACCAAGGAAACTGCGTATCTCTTTCACATTCTTGTGCCTCTCCCAATCTATAATGGCCTCTATTTTGGCGTTGTCCACAGCAACGCCCGAACCGGATATGACGTGCCCGGGAAAGCCAATCTTTTTGAGCCAAAATTCACATTTAGAGAACTTGGCAAAGAGCTGCTTTTCTCTTGAACGATTCAGTACAAGCCCCAAATGATGCTCGTGCTCCTCTTCGCTCTTGGAGTATATAGAGATATCATCAATGAATACTATCACAAATTGATCTAAGTATTCACTAAACACATGGTTCATCAAGTCTATGAATGTGGCCGGTGCGTTGTTTAGACCAAATGACATCACAAGGAACTCGTAATGCCCATATCTAGTGCGAAAGGCACTCTTCGGTATGTCACTTTCCTTGATCTTCAATTGATGAAACCCCGACCTTAAATCAATCTTCGAGAATACTATTGCCCCTCAAAGTTGATCAAACAAGTCATCAATCTTAGGTAAAGGATACATGTTCTTGATGGTGACCTTGTTCAACTGTCGGTAGTCGATACACATTCTTAGTGTACCATCTTTCTTCCTCACGAAGAGTACAGGTGCTCCCCATGGTGAATGACTAGGTCTAATGAACCCATTGTCCAATAGCTCTTGTTATTGGACCTTCAATTCTTGAAGTTCCGCGGTGCCATTCGGTAAGGAGGAATCGAAATGGGTTTGGTTCCCGGCTCAACTTCAATCACGAATTCAATTTCTTTATCGTGTGGTAGCCCCGGTAGGTCTTTAGGAAAGACGTCCGGGTACTTACACACGACACGTACATCGTTGATGTCGACCTCCTTCTTTGTCTCATCCACCACATAAGCAACGTACGCGTGGCAACCTTTCTTCATCATCTTCCGTGCTCTCATCACGGATATGATACAATTTTGAGATCTCCCTCGATCTCCCTCGAAACGTATGATGTTTCCCTCATCATCCTCAAGCTCTAAGACCTTGGTGTAGCAATCAACCCTAGCATGATGTCTTTCGAGCCAATCCATCCCTAGGATCGCATCAAACTCCAACATACTTAGAGGTACGAAATCACAAGTCAAGGGTGGACCCGTCACTTCTCCCTCACACGATTGATAATAGTGGTTCCTTTCCACATCATCTCCTAACGGTGTGGAGACTAACAAGGTCTGAGTCATCGGCATCAATGGCATGTCAAGACCTTCGGCAAATGCTTCGCTCACAAATGAGCGTTGTGCCCCGGTATCGATGAGAATTCTTGTGTTTCTACCATTGATCTTTAGTGTTCCTACATTTATAAGCCATGTAAGATGTCTTTCTTTCCTCCCATAACACTGAGCCTCCCCAAGTAGGCCCTGTTCCACCACCTCGTTAAACGTCATATGACGAGAGTATGTAGCTTGGTCACGGATGTCCAGGAGTAAGGCGTCCCAAAAGTGTTCTGACATGCGGTCCTCATCGACCGCGTATTCCGGCAAGAACCTAGCCAAGGTTCTAAAATCTTGCTCCAATTGCTTGGCAGAACCATCCTCCTTCTGTTTAAGGTTGGTGTACTCCCTACGCTTGACATTAACCTCATAATCGGAGTAGTATTGGGCGTAGAACTCTTGCTCGAAGTTCGCCCACGTGATGGCCCCCCCGGTACTTTCCTTCTACACTCTCCCACCATGTAGAAGCGATTCCTTCAAGCAAACGTGAAGCAACAGTCAACTTCACGTCGGGTGTGACCTGCATATCCCTTGATGCATCTTTCACTTTCTTGATCCAATCGGCGGCAACGGTAATGTCACCGGTGCCGTCAAAGGATTTACACCCCAAGGCCCTAGCCTCCTTGAGGTACTTGGAGATTCTCACACAAAACCCTCCTTCACGCCCACCTTGTGACGCCGCTGGAGTCGCCCTTGAAGCTCCCCGACTTCCTTGAACCAAATCACCACGAGAGCCGTGCCTTGCTTGGCGCCTAAGGTCTCTCCTTAGTTTCTCTTTTTGATACCACTCAAGCAATTCACCCATTTGAGCGAATCAGGCATCACTCTCATCTTTGTCTTCCCCATCAGTGTGGAAGTCACCCCCGTCATACGGGGTCTCCTCATGCTCCATGCCGGGAACAAAAGTCGAGTTATAGTCCTCAGTGTTAGTTTCAAACACCGAGCTTATGTGGCCGTCGCTCACTGTTTGGGCCCGGTGGCCCCCACAACCTACTCGGCCTCCACTTCTCCCCCGAGATGCAGCCCGGCTACCCCTCATGGATGTTACCGGTGCCTGCCCCCTCGGATTGTTCCTCGTTGCCATTCGCCTACCCTCCATTTCTGAAATGAGATTTGGATGAGTCGTTAGACTCCTATCAATGTCAATTGACGGAAGAACGTTATAGACACGTATTGGCCCAAGTCACCACCATACCAATTGTTAAAAGTACCATCTTAACAATTAGAGACCTTGCAACCTAGGTAACAATAGTTCTATGAACGTCAAAATACAATGCTCATGGTTTTCGGTAAAAATTCATTTTTGCAAAATCTCTCGTGAGAGGTTGATTACATAGTTTAGAACTGAGATGGCTCTGATACCACTTAATTGTCATGCCCCAGACCGCATCTAGACGCGTGTACAACCGCCGTATGACCAAGTAATGCCACTCGCAAGTCAACGTGTCTTAACCATACAAGGCGTTCATGAACATAATATATATCCATACTCAGTAGTAAACATACACAACAACATCACAGTTTAGATTAGTTGAATAGCGGAAACATTCAATAATCACTCGTGGGCCACACATGGCCAAAACATAGGCTCGCATGCCAAAACAATGTATTAATACAAAAGTATCCATGAGCATAGTTTATCTTTTGAAATAGTAGAGGGAGCACGAACCACGTCTTCCTCTGGATTCTCTTCACCTGTAAAAAAGGTGTAGATGACAAGACTTAACTTCAACCTGAAATGGTGCCCCCCCCCGAAGAGGCCAGTACAAGTACCGAGCGAGTAGCAGACTGAATATAGAATAACTAACGTTTCAAGTATAAGACCCAAACATAGGGTGATACTTATGTAAATAGTCTTTTCCCCCAAGTTAAGAAATACTTGGTAGTACATATACACTTGGAAAATACCCGATCCGTAGATCACCGTTTTATTTGGGAAAATATTAATAGTCAATATCCTTGACTAAAAACCCCAACCCACCCATATGCCTATGAGTGTATAGGACCCCTCCTTGTCCATACTTCAATATCAATAATCTATGAGTTTTGAGGATCAAAATCCTTGGGTACTCCACCAAATTTGTATTTGAGTGTTAAGGACTTTTAGTCCCAGGGTCCTCCACCATGTTTAAATACCTTTGAAACATAATTATGAACACATATAACATTTATTTAGGTAATCTCATAATTAAACCAAAAGTTATAAGATATTAAGCCGTCCACTCACCTTAAATGAGCTTTAGCGCGTTCTACGCTTCTCGGTTGGACTCTGGCGAAACTCCGACGAACTCCGGTGAAACTCCGGAGAACTCTAGAAACACTTTATTTATGCTCCTAATATGGTTTTATCATCACAAAACTCATATCAATACAAATAACCCCTAAAAGGTTATTTTCCGGCGAACAGGTCGTTTTGGCTTCTAAGTCCATTCTTGGACTTAGAACTACCTTCCAACCCCTCATTCTACATTTCTAAATATGTAGAAAAAACCTAGGGGTTCCTCATATGATGTATAATCCATATGATAAATGAAAAGTAGAGGAAAAGTTATTAAAAGGTTATTACCTTAATATTCCACACTTTTCCTAACGTTTTCCTCCTTCAAGTTTTCTTTTTGGACTCCTATGGCTTGAGTTCGAAATGGCTATGGAGGGTGAGTATCTTGCAGAGCTTCTCCTCTCAAAAATTACGTGTTGGGCGAGCTAGATGATTGGGGATGAGAGAGGGTGGCTTGTTTTGTCTCAAATGGTAAATTAATGGGGTGAGGGGTCCTCCATGGTACCTTTGATGCCAAAGCCCACTCCTCCACACATTTATTAGTCAACTCCAGTCTCCTCTGAATAATTTGAGCACACAAAAACGTGTGGTGGCCCCCACTCATGTGGGAGGTCATCCCTTTGTGTCCCGATTTGTACACTCGGCCCCAAAAGTTGTATTTTTCGGACTGTTTAAATTATATTTTATTTATCGGGTCAAATAAAATATATTATGTGATTCCCATCATTATGGAATTTTGGAATGAGTATTCACTCCCTAACTTTAATTTAGACGTCTCCGAAATCCGTTCCGAACTGTTATCTCATAAATTACCGATACCGGTAATTGGGTCTCGTTTGACCAACGGGTCAACCCTATGCCCTTCCTATGGCCCAACTAAAATATCTACCACCATATACATATTATCTAGACCAAGATGAATATAATATGTGGTCCCGGGTTTATCGGGTGGTCCCCGCTCCTGATGTGGGCCCCACGTGCAATTCACTATTCACGCGAACGTAATAACAAAATTTAAAACCTCGTAAATTCACGAATCATTATTCAAGGTTTATTACATGATTTACTAAAAGTAAATATACTTGGGGACGGTGTTACAACTTAAAAGATTGAACTTCAGGCCTTTGACATAAGAGACCTCATCAATGACTATCTGGTTCTTGATCACCTTCCCTCTTCCTTTTGTTTGACCTTCTTTATCATTACCTCCAAAGGTAACTCTAGGTCCTTTGCATTTCTGGAACTCTATTAGGCAGCTTCGGTCACTTGTCATGTGCCTGGAGCATCCACTATCAATAAACCATTCTTGCTCAGAGATAGCCCCAGCACAGAATTCCTGCATGATCAAAAGAAAGATTTAGGTACCCAAGCAATGCTGGGTCCTCGGCAGTCATGGAGTCTGGGTAGTTGGTACCATTTTGGTCTCATCAAGTGAAACCTTGGTGGGTGGTACCCATTGTCCACCTGGTAGTCATAGTAAATCGAAGTGTGATTCACCTTGGGCGGATGCTTGTGAGGGTCATGCTTCCTGTTTACATACTTTTGCATAGCTTTCTTGGTTGGAAAAAGTCTCATATACTATCAAGATCAGAGAGGCGATTAGCTTTGGGCTTCTGAAGTTGACCATCCAACTGTTAGTATATATGTCCTAGCGACAATCACTTTTTAGAGATATATGTACTTGATCACATTCAGTTTTATATATTTGATATATACGGTATTACACATTGATGATTAAGTATTTCGATTGTCAATATCTTATTCATAAGTGTGTTCCCTTGGACTTACGTTGTCAATAAGTAAGTGAGAGCTTATATGATATCACATAAGGTCCTAAAATAGCCCCAATCAATGATCATCAAGAATGGGATATTGATGATATGCGATAAGATTGGTATGTGGACTGCATCATACTTTTAGAAAGTATAGTTGATCTCACAACTATGAGTTCCTGTAGTTCATGATGGTCACATAGATATTTTAGAGAATATTGGCATACCCACCGAGAAACCATTTGATAAGTTCTATTCATGTGTCTATAGGATTATCGGCGTATAGAGTAGTGTAATAGTCCTCCGACTTGAGGTCAATACGTACTACATGTGCAGAGTGATGTACTTTGACCATGACCAACGCTTGCACTCCAATCGGGGTAGATATGGCATGTGTTGGGTGCATCACGAAGCACATGGAGTAGTAGTTGAGCCAAGAAAGGATTCATTCCTCATAATAGATTAAGAGAGAACATTCTACTTCTCATATCTAGATGGATCATAAAGTCATTGGCCAATGCAATGATATATTCGTTTTGGATATCGAATATGATCGTAATGAATCATCTAGAAAGATTGAGAGACAGAGACTGAGTTATTGGAATAGACACGATATCATGTTCTAGACTTAGTTGAATGTTCGTTGAATGAAAGGACCGTATCACTACGAGCTCTATATTACAGGGAGTTTGAATAGTCCTCACAAATGTCCTTATATATTAAGTTTGTCTGGTAAATCGTCTAGGGATTCTACTAAGACCTTAATTTGATTAGTGCTTAATATATAAGGCCCTATGGGTCACACAACAAGTGATTATACCTCCCGATTGAATTGTTAAAAGGAATTAAATATTATTAATTGGATTAAATAATATTTAATTAGTAATACTGAAAATGGATTAATAATTAATTAGATTAAACATATTTAATCCATGTAGTTGAAGGAGAGTTCTATTTGACAGAATTAATTAGTGGAATAAATTGGATTTATTGTACTTAATTAAGATGTATTTTTAATTAAATAAAGTTGGTATTTTTCTTTATGATTTGGAATCTAAAATAAAAGGAAATAAAATAAATAATATATATACAATAAGTAGAGAGTGGTTGCACGCCACTTCTCTATTGTTGTAGTTATTATTATTTTATTTTATTTAATCTACTTATTTAATTAATAATGAAGTATCGGTCCTGGTAGGACTAGAACACATTAATGAGAAAGACTTTCATTGTGATTGGGAAACTAGTTTAGAACTAGTATAAATACACCCCCAAGTCCTCCTTCATAATATATATACCAGTTTTCAGATTCAGTATTATCAGTTTATTTCCCTGCGAAGAGATTTCCTAGTCTTTCTCTTCGGGAGATCTAACCGTTGTTTCGGAAAGGAGAAATCACGTGGATACCTAAGGTCAAGGATTCTCACCGCTAGGCTGGAAGATCTGTAAGTTCTAACTCAGATCTGTTATTATGATCATATTCGTTGTTTTGTCATAATCAGGAAAGATCTGTTTGGGAAAATTTTAAACTTCCGCTGCTGTACTTTCGAGGTACGTTACATCAATTTCTTAACAGTGGTATCAGAGCCAAACTGATTCTAATGACATTATACGAATTTTGATAGATATATTCGTAGGTTGAATAGTATTTTTTGCCATAGTTTGATTTCCGAAATCAAACAATTTTGAACGATTCTAAAATTTTAGTTTTAGAAATTAAAATCTGAAAATTTAAAGATGAGATTCCAAGATCTCTAGTAGTAATCGTGGAAGACCGCCATCTACCTCCCCTGCTCTCTCTCTATCGATTTCATCCTTATCAATCTGAAATCAACGGACACTCACGGCGAGGATAAGCCATAACCGCCCCAGTTTTGACGACACTCAGGTGTGCGTTGTAGAACGATCAAGGAATTCTGCGTTTGTTTTTTAGAATTGTTTAAAAGAAAGTTTTGTTGGGTAGCTGATTTTCAGGAGTAAAAATGATTTAGCTCTAGGGTTTAATATTGGATATCTTAACCTTTAATATGAGGATTGGATCCTAATTTTTTTGAAATTGTGAATTAGATCAACATTAAAGACTTGTTGCTGTTTTTACGGAGCACTGATCCAGATGAACTAGTTTTTGAGTAGGAGACTAAGTATGCATTTTGTAAATTAAATTTACTTTGATGACTTTTTTACTCTAGAGTCTTAAGTTATTTTTACGGCTTGAGAGTGCGGTGCATATATAGATGGAGTCATGGAGTTCATTTAATCTGGACTAAAGGACTGGGTTTTTCTTTGGCAGTTAAATAATACGGTGTAATGATTATCGGTATTATAATAGTTGAATTATAATAACCTTAGTTTAATTAGATTAATCTTCTTAGAGATTAAAGGATTTTCAAATTATAATTTTCGATGAATCATTATTGTTATTTTAGCATGCTTAATTAATTGTTTGATTATTGTATCATTTATAAATTGGATTTATATTGCATGTTTTAATTTATCTGTCTGAGTTAGATCTCATCAACATATTATTTGATAATATGTTTTAGCATCTTGATTAAATAAAGTAATTTAATATCCCGCTAAATGTTCCCCATAAATTAAAATTTAAGTCTTATCTAGGATAACGACATCACCCATCATAATTAAATTAGTAGAAATATTTTTTCGTTGAAGAATATTTCACCCAAGTGTTTATTCCATTCGACAAAATATAGAACTAATTTACAGATACATATGTTTGTGATCGTGTGATGGTTTTGACTTACTTAAATTAGCTCGAGTCGCCCAAGCGTCAATGTTAATTTAAGGATGTCGATCAATTTAAAAATTGATCAACCAAGAATTGCTTGGACGCAATTGGTCTAGGGACCTACCCATTATATTATTGCAGTGATCAGCCAAAGTTGGGGCTGTAATAGTATGAATGAGGATCTTGGTCACTATGATTGTAAAACATTACATGTTCCTTTTATTGGGGTCAAAGAGCATGAAAAATAGTGGGAGCTAAATAATTAAAAGCTCATATTATTTAGTTAACTAAATGTGATCATAGGAATTATTATATGATTTTTAATTCCCGTTCTATTGGAACTTCTCTAGGATTTTTGGAAGTCGAATTTATCATTGAGAAGTATCTTGGATACAAATAATCTGACTCGACTAGACTTCTAGACTTCAAACAAAATGTGCCTTTAGTGTTTAGGCAAGAAAATATTGAGAATGTGTTTGACACATGTGTACCTGAGGTTCCTAATGTCAACTCTTCTGAATTAGTTATGTTTGACATGAACATTCAGAAGAATAACATTGCTAAGGTAAGCTCTACTGCTGAATATTTCCTTACGGGGAGGAACAAGCAAAAGAAGAAAATTAAGGTTAGACCTAAGCCTCTAGCTTTGAAACCTAAAGGTAGGACTCAAAAGAAATTTTAGGTACTAAAGGATGTATACCTCTACAGCAAAGAGAGGGCATTAGAAGAGAGGTTTTTTTAGCCAAAGCACCGAGTGCTTTAGCTTAGGTATTTTTGTCATTAATATTAATATGTCTACAACTAACTCTCACTGTTGGGTATTAGATACAACATGTGGCTCACACATTGGAATAATGTGTAAAGTCTAAGTGACAATAAGCAGTTAGGCTGGGTCAAGTTGCTGCTAGGCGTGTAGGCATTTATAAATTAGATTTACCCATCGGTTATAGTTTAGAACTAAATAATTGTTATTTTGTTCCTTCTATAACAAAGAATATAATTTCCATTCATATGTTAGACATTAAGGGGTTTCCTTCCATTTTGCTGATAACACTTGTTGTTTTTGACAAAATGGCATTGTATATGGGAATGGCCCTCTTATGAATGGTCTATATATTTTACTTGTAGGCATTACATATTAAATGTACAAAATAAGAGACCAAAGTTAAGTAATCAGAAAAATACCACCTATCTTTGGCATTGCGATTTGGCCATATTAGTGAAACAAGAATAACAAGGTTAAGTAAATTAGATTATTTAACACCATTTGATTTTGAATCATATGGTAATTGTGATTCCTGTCTTTTAGCTAAAATGACCAATAAACCTTTTCTTGGAAAAGGATTGCGGGCCAAAGAAGTGCTTGAGTTGATTCACACAGATGTGTGTGGACAGTTTGCAACTAAAGCTAGAGGAGTATTTTCTTACTTCATCATTTTACCGATGATTTCTCTAAGTTTGGTTTTGTGTATCTTATGAAACACAAACCAGAAGCTTTCGAGAAATTCATGGAGTATAAGGCTGAAGTAGAGAAACAACTTGACAAGAGTATCAAGACTCTACGATTTGATCGTGGAGGGGAATACTTGAGTAAGGAGTTTGTTGATTACTTGAAAGGTCAAGGAATTCAGTCACAATGGACTCCTCCAAGAAACACCTAATTTGAATTGGGTTTCAGAAAGGAGAATAGAACTTTGTTGGACATGGTTAGGTTGTTGAAGACTATTTTATTGTGAATCAAGTTTGTCTGTTTTGTCTGTAATAAGTTAGATGTTTACTATTTCTATTCTGTACTGATTAAATATATCTGTTAGAATAGTATTCAATATGGGCCAAGTGTTAGGCCCATACTCAGGCGAGAAGCCTTTTTACGCATACCTGAGCCTCGCCTATAAAAGAGGGAGGAGGACTCAGGTTTGCGGTTAACTTTCGTATCTGCTCAAAATAGCCTTAACGCTTATCATTCTTGTACGAAAGGTTCACGGTATATCAGAGAAGGTTTACACTTGATCTTTCTGTGTTCATCTTTGTTGTTAATC